AGGTCCTAGAGTCTGGAGGAAGGGTGGAGAAGCTCATAGCTCAAGTTGCTTGAAGTCCAGTGTTAAGTTTCCACAGTCTGTGATGATTCGGGGTGCAATGTCATCTGCTGGTGTTGGTCCATTGTATTTTTGAAAAACAACATCACTGCACCTGTTTACCAATACATTTTGGAGCACTTCCTGCTTCCCTCTGCTGATCAGCTTTTTGAAAATGCTGATTTCATTTTCCAGCAGGATTTGGCACCTAAAGCACCAAAAGTTGGTTAAATGACCATGGTGTTGGTGTGCTTGACTGGCCAGCAAACTCACCAGACCTGAACCCCATAGAGTATCTATGGGGCATTGTCAAGAGGAAAATGAGAAACATTTTTAGAGACCAAAAAATGCAGATGAGCTGAAGGCCACTGTCAAAGAAACCTGGGCTTCCATACCACCTCAGCAGTGCCCCAAACTGATCACCTCCATGCCAATTCAACTCAAATTGTGAAACTCGTGTATTAAATAAATTCAATGCACACAGACGGAAGCAGTTTAAGTCTTTGGTTCTTTTAATTGTGATGATCAAGAGGAAAATGAGAAACATTTTTAGAGACCAAAAAATGCAGATGAGCTTAAGGCCACTGTCAAAGAAACCTGGGCTTCCATACCACCTCAGCAGTGCCACAAACTGATCACCTCCATGCCAATGCTGAATTGAGGCAGTAATTAAAGCAAAAGGAGCCCCTACCAAGTATTGAATACATGTACAGTAAATTAACATACTTTCCAGAAGGCCAACAATTCACTAAAAAAGTTTTTTTTATTGGTCTTATGAAGTATTCTAATTTGTTGAGATCGTGAATTGGTGGGTTTTTGTTCAATGTGAGCCAAAATCATCACAATTAAAAGAACCAAAGACTTAAACTACTTCAGTCCGTGTGCATTGAATTTATTTAATACACGAGTTTCACAATTTGAGTTGAATTACTGAAATAAATGAACTTTTCCACGACATTCTAATTTATTGAGATGCACCTGTATATTCTAGACTACTTTTGACCAAAAACTGGCATAATAATGCAGATTAAGGGTAGATCATGGTAGCTTTATTTGTATAAGTCAAACAGGAAAAAAAGACTGACAAAACATTAACATTGAGTACAGAGACAGGTAATAGTAATCTAAAACTAGTAATTTCAAAATAGAACATGAACAAGACTTTGAGAGTTTAACAGGAGAAACAAAGCAAGGTCAATTATCCAGTCCAGAACAGCAGAGCCGATCATCAGAAAACAGACAGAGAGATTTTCCCATTAGTCTATTTACATCATTATGCATCCAGTGTCCAGGAACAAAGATGACTTGACTAGAGGGAGAAAAAAAAATTAGGAACATTTATTTTATTGCCATTTACAAAGCTATAATTTGTTAAAGACATGTTAAGCGCAACAGACTCACCGGTCTCCTTATAACCTCTACTTGCTCTTCAACGCTTCCTTCAGGGCAGAAACCACTTCAGCAGGATCAGGAAACTTAAGTTTGCGTGGAGGACCCTTCTTAATGCCAGACCACAAAACAACCTCTGCTCAGGAGAAAGAAATACAGAGGCAGCATATGTAAAAAAAAAAAACAAATTATTTGGACAGCCATAAAATGCAAACTTTGTTACTCAATGATGCCGGCAGCTGAAAAAAGACACATCTGAATACTGCTTGGGCTTCTTTCCGTGGCAGGCTAACCTTTGTCTCCCTCCATCAGCGTGACCTCAAAGCTGTTCCGCCGAGGTTTCTGAGGATTGAGCACCACACGAAGTTCAGGGTGTGAAGCCGCAAGTGCCTCACACACACCTTCCGCATTCCGCCCATAGACCCGTCAGCTTTTGCTGTAAAACATTTAGAATATGAACATGACTCAAATATAAGGGTGGCTTATATATAATTAACTTTAGGGGGTATTTCTACATCTTTTTAAAAATCTTTTAAATTGTTATAATATAGCAAAAACTGCTGTAAATAATTCACAAAATATTGGTACACAATAAACAGTGCATGAACACATTTTCAATAGCCATGTGACCTCACCAATGCTCAATGACAACCCTTTGTCCTGTTTCTTCATCTTTATTGTCAACTCCAAGCTTTTCCTTCTTCTCCCCCACTGCAACGGTTTCTGCATCCACGTCAGTTTTACGCTTCCGACCACGACCTGCATATTAAGGTGGATATTATATATATATATATATATACACACACGTGTGTGTGTGTGTGTGCCTACTTAACCATATTTTGGGGACAAATATGTACCCAAAAGTGAGTTAACCTGACAAAATCTCCAAAAACCTTTGGGGACATCCTCATTTGTAAAACTGGTATAAAAATAAAGTAAATCGTGTTTTTTTTTTTTTTTTGTAAAAATGCAGGAAGTTTTCTGTAAAGGGTAGGTTTAGGTGTAGGGTTGGTGTAGGGCGATATAATATACAGTTTGTACAGTATAAAAACCATTACGCCTATGGAATGTCCCCATTTAGATTGCTCAGTAAACGTGTGTGTGTGTTCATATATATATATATATATAAATTATTTAATATGGCCAACAAAGTCTTAGATTGTAAGGCGTGACCTTACACAAGCAGCTTGACTCCCACTGAAAAACCATAACGTGACAAACACGAAAACTCATAATCTGCTAATGTGATACGCAGCACAAAAGATTGAAGTAATACACAATCTGTTCCAATGCAATATATATATATAGAGAGAGAGAGAGAGAGAGAGATGGCTACTAAGGATATTTCATAATAACTGGTTAACATTAGAAACTCATTACGTTATCGACTACTGCTACTACATGGAAGTTTCAAACCGTGTTATACGCACCTGATTTGGCTCGGGTCGCCATTGCTACATCACACAGAAGACGCGCGGAGAGTTTGGCGGATTATGTTGAAGAAAAGAAAGTAAGCCAGACTGACAGTGCCACCTTTTGGTGTGGAAAGTTTCTTGACTGTTATATGAAGGACTATCACAGTCCAAGTCTTTGCACAGCCTCACAAAAGCAATTTTTGAAGTTGGCGTGTAAAATACTAAAAATGTCCTGGTATAGGGGTATCATGGATTATGTCATTGTTTCAGTATGATAGATAATGAGAAGAGTTGCACTGCCTAGACATGTTTTAATTTAAGAACTACAAAATAGCCTATATAAAAATTGGGGGGAAAAGAAATAAATACATAAATTTATTTATTTATTAGCATTTTTACAATACTGTACCTGTGAATAAAACAGAAGACTAGGAAATTATGTATTCCTAGTCTTCCTTTATATATATTTTTTCAAGATCAAAGTTAGTTTCTATACAGCATACTTTAATGTACAGACTTAAAAAGAAAGACAATTTGTTTAAACTTTTAATTTGTGGTAACATACAGTACAGTATACAGTACAGTACAATTCTAAATGTTTGAAGCAGTATAGGATAGGACCGCAGTCTAGAAATTGGGGGAAAGAAGGGGAATGGGGTCGGGAAATTACCCTGGCCAGAATCGAGTCAACGTCAGCTCTGATATGATTAGGCCATCATTCCTGTAATAAAGCACAAACAGAAACTAAAATGAATAAATGTATAATTTAATTGGAATGCTAAAATTATACTTACCTGATCACTCACCTCACCTGTTTACCTTCTTTTTTTCTTTGGCCTTGTTTTTGGATAGGACAGTAGAGACAGACAGGAAAGAGGGGGAATGGGGTCTGGAAATGATTCAAGACGGATTCGAACCTGAGTTCCCGTAAGCCAACAGCTCTGATATGATTAGGCCATCAGTCCTGTAATAAAGCACAAACAGAAACTACAATTAATAAATATTTTAATTGGAATGCTAAAATCATACATAGAAACCATTAATTTTCTTATAATGTATAGCATTACTAATAGATTTTGAGTTGATTTAAGTTTTTATATTTATATAACTGTGGTATGTATTATTACGTTTTGCAATTTTAA